ATAGGGTGACACGTTGTTTCCACCAAATGCTCGAAGTTTGACAGCAGCTCACCTCCTCCAGGAAACTCAGGAGGAACTCCTTCCCAGCACTGTTGGCGGTGTAGAAGCCCGAGATGGCCTTGTGCAGCACGTTGAGGTTTAGCCGCCGGCTGGTGGAGGGCAAAGCCCTGAGGGCACGCAGCACAAAGCGCGGCTCCTTTCCAGACACAGCCTTCTCGATCTGTTTCACATGCTCCTTGATATCTGACAGGCAGAAAAAAGGGAGCGTGTGAGAGAAGCAGACATTTAGATATGGCACAGAAATGTAGGTGGGTGCCACAATTAAAATCAAGTTTTCAAACATCAGACAATATTCAGAACAAACTGCAGCAGCAGAGATCTGTCAATCAAAATATATGCATTAAAAAAGACTGCATTACGGGCTTAGCTGTGTACACTTTTCGTTTTGTTCTATTGCTTTAAGTCTAATGGTTTCGAATGTCTTGAGGTAAGGGTGTCATATTACTATACATCATTAAGCACTACTGACAGCGGACACTGTAAAACTACATTGACCAGCAGGCCCGGAGAGGCCAGTCGGGAGACTCGGAGAATTCCCGATGGGCCGCTTAGCCGTTAAGCAAAATAATTTTACAACTTTAAAATTCTCCAACAACGCTTCAGTTAGACTGCTTGAACAGTTCAATGCACTATTTATTATTTACTTACTGGAAATGTCAGTAATAAAGTTATCGGGATAATAAAACATGAGTCATCAATTATCAAAGTTTCCCCAGAACGAAGAGAAAATTAGCCCACTCCGTGCGTGCTGACAGTAGGAAACACAGATCACAAGCACTTAACAGGTCATTTGCCTAAAAGCAAATTGCATAAACAGAAAAATCCGTTTATCTGATTTTTTCCGCAAAAGAGAAAACAAATTTTTAATATGTCAAGTTAAATTTAGATTTAACCCATATGGATATTTTTCCACTGCAGCGTTACATTGTGTATAAAGGACCCAAGTGTTCAAAACAGCCAGAAAACCGGCAGCATTTTACAGCTGCGGATACCAAAAACCCGGGCGTTGACATTACGTTTATTCATAAGTGTAAAACCTTTCACGCCCGTCATCGGGAAGAGTGTTTCCCTGTAGCTACCTTCTAGAGTTAATGTGTCAAGCTCCTTGGGAGATTTCCCCGTCGTCGCGGTGTCTTCTTCTGGCATCTCCACATCCTGCGGCTCGGGGCCCGTCTCCGCTTTTTTCTCCGACTTGGCCTCTCGGGCCTTTTCCCGTTTTTTCGACGTGGTTTCTTTCATGATGCGCAGCAAATGCCAAAGCCTAAGCAATGAAATGAATATTTATACGCGTTCTGCCCGACCACAAACCAGTATTATCGCACTAACTTCTTCTGCCCCTGGAAAAACAAGGAGAATGACTGGCAAGTATGAACTACGCAAAGGGGATTGTGGGATACAGGCTATCTAATCAAGTTCTCAACTAGGCATGACTGATCGATCACAGAGCGATCGCTGAAGATCTGTTACTAACTTGCGCCTCTGGGCGGCAGGCATGTCTTCTGCTATCTTTATTGGGCGACAGGCATGGTGTAAATAAGAGGCTCTGAATATTACGTTATTCTTTAAAATATTGAAGTGTTCAGTAAAAATATGTAGTATTTAAGCAGACTGTCTAGCAAATGTGTTGTGTCATGATGAAATCAAGTACTACTGAGTATTACTGAGTTTAAAAAAGATAATATGTTACGTCATAGTGAGTCTTATTAACATCAAACAGTAATTTAAGTGATTATTTGAAAATTAATTCAGTGGTAACACTGGATATATTGTAGATATTTTATTACCACAATCATTTAATGAGTAGTTCCAAAACAGTTTTAATTCAAAGATCTGTTTCTTTGTGTATCAGTTATTAAAATATATTTTAGAGACAAGTTGTTTAGCTTGAAAGAATGCGATACGTATGAGGGTCAAATGTCCGGGCGGCAAATGTAACAATTACTGCAAAATACAGCTTGATATGTATTGTTATGTAACTAGAACCACGGTTAGATTTCAAAGTAAGAGATAAGAGATAGGGGTTAAAGAATAGGAAAAGTGGTTCCCATGGCAACCCGGGGAGCACCGGTATGTGTAACAGTGAGCGAGGGCATTGAGAAGACCGAAGCGAAGGGCAAGCCCAAGTCATGCTTTCCACTCCCCAGCACGATATCCTGTGAAAAGTCACGTCCGCTGTAATAACAGACAAAGCGGATCTCCCTTAGCTCCCCCGGGGCAGCCGGGCGGGTTTTCGGGTTCGTGTTGGGCGTTAGAAGGTCCACACTAGCAGGTGCGTCTGTGTTTCTGTTTTCCTAGGGAGGTTACCTAAGGATCCTGACGCCAGCAGCCCAGCGGTGATGGCTGACTTGTACAAAAAGATGTGCTTCTTTACAGTTTCAGTCACAAGTTAGAACTTTTATGTTTTATTTGATTCTTGTTCTGTTTGTATTTCATATCCCAATGTAGTATTGCGGTGTGATAACAGCGAATATTTTGTCATAAAACTACCCAGCTCCATATTCAGTTACTGGATGTATCTAATGCACATCTCTGGAAAAGACTAAGAGGCTACAGCAAAACTTTCAGTTTCACTTATTTCTTAATTTATATGAATGCACCTATGTTTCTGCCACCTCCAGCCTGGCCCTGCTTCTCATTCATGAAGGGCTTCTTCCTTGCTTTTTGGGTCTTCAGTCCTGCTTCTAGGAGCCTGTAACAAACTTGCCCTAGCAGTGCACTTCGCACCACTTAATGTTTCCCATTCGTTTTGAAGGTCATTTGAGGTCAACCTCCAGTTTATGAGGCACTACCAGATAAGTTAACAGTCATCTCCGGCATTAGAAAGTTGCTTCTGCCCTCTACTTGGCTGGTTTTTGGTTATTCCCAGTGTCTCCTGCTTCACCTTGTTCTTGTGTACTGCTGTCTTAGAAATGTTGAGTCTGGAAGCAGCCTGCCTCGCAGTATAGCCTTCTGCCAGCAGAACCATGATTAAACCAGGATTTACAAATGCAGAGTTTTAAGAAATATACAGTGGTCTCTTAATTTTGACACATACACACAATTTTCTGACCTTCTTCATATTGTTGAGATTACATGTGTATTCTGAGATTAGCCAAAACAGTGTTAAAATTAAGATACAGTGCTGGCAGCATCTTTGAACTTGTGTGCAGTAATATAGAATTAAAAAACTATCTTGGTAGTACTGGTTTCAAATACAGTATAGATAACCAGATACTTTAGCTGGAATGAAAACCCTGATTCAACACTTTACTTAGATTTAGCAAGTTTTTTTTCCCCCCAAAATTGATTAAATGCCATTTACGCATATATACATATGCACACCCACACACACACACACACACACACACGGTGGGTGTCAGTTTTAATTTTCACAAAACAATAATAGAGTGAAAACTGCTTGGGAAAATTGTAATATGTATTCTTGATACAAGACCCACACAAGTCCATTGTTGGTTTAAATACTGGTTAAAATGGAGTTTTCAGAACAAATTCTATATTGGAAAGGAATAATAATAAAAAAAAGTTTTCAGTGGTGGCTGGCCAGTGTTCCGCATCCTTGTTCAGCCCAACATGTTTGGTCATGGTGTTGGGTGTGTGTTGGGGGTGGCGCTGAAAATGGACCTGATGGAGATGCTCAGGTGCTCGCTTATCACATGGCCCCAAGCAGCTCCTCTCATGTCCGTCCTTGCACTTCAAGGTTTAGCACTCCCAAGGTGATCCACCTAGGGACTTTTTAATCTGCAACCCAATCTGGCACGGGGCTGTGCTCTGCTAGATTGAATGTGTCATTCTATCCGGCTCTTTGTGTCCCATTAGCCGATAGTGGTAATGTTCACACCAGTGTACTGTGTCTGCGAGGCAGGCTAAGAGGCTCACTGTTTGGTCCCTGCTGGAAGGCAAGCTGTTCTGAAATTTGAATTAACTGCAGCGTAAGTGGTAGGAACGATGCAGTTATCTGACCAGTGGAACTTGTTTGCATTTTGCCTGCTTCACTGTTGAGCTGCGATGATCGGTTACTGGCCCACTCCCGCTCTTGTAACTAACCACGATAAAAGCAGATGATGTCAGAGGATGGGATGCTGTGTATCAGTATTCTGTTGCTTGCTAAAAAAGGGCTGCTATTTGCAATCTTTTTCATTGAAGCAGACACTTGGACGATGCTGTTGTCAACGCGAGCCTGACTTCCCCTGCAGTTCACCTATGATTGTGTGACTAAGCTGGCTGTGCCAATATAATGAAACAACACTTAGGGCACAGCACGCATGCTATTGCAGTCACGTTTTTTTAGCTGAAGGATTCAATATGGGAAAAGACCATTCGTGAAGAATGATGTGCTTCTTATAAGCCAAAACTTTATATCACTGCACAGGAAGATCTGATTGAAGCGTTGCACGCTGGCCCTCAAAAACACTGTCCTTGAGTCTCAGCTAGGCTCTAGGCAACTGCAATTGTTTTTCACTTCAGTGGGGGTGAGGGAGGAGTTTTCCGTATCGGTGATGTATGGTGAGGAGTGAATGGGGGGAAGGAATAAAAGCCAGCCCAAACAAAAAAACAAACATTGTTGCCACGGGAATTCACAATGCTGGTTCGACTATTGATGCCTGCATGTTCACTCTTCTGCAGTCACTGAGAAAGGCCGGAGAGTCTGCCTTTCCGGGCACCACATGTGTGCAGGCTGCCCCACTGGAGAGCAGAATCGCTGGCAGGATCATTTTTGCCGCTTTTCCACTAGCATACAGGAACCACGCCGTACCGGAGCCGTACCACAAAGAGGGACTAGTTACAGGTCGGTTCCAACTCGCTTCGGTTTTCCACTGCAGACGGGTCAGCTCGGCAAAGGCGTTGGTGGGCTTGGAGAGCGACAGTAACATAAAACCAAAGAAACACATTTACTGGTGTAGATTATGAATTACTGTAACGAATCCACTTGCAGAGTCATGTTTCAGCAAAACGATGGTTTATTGAACAGTTAAAATAATATAATGTAATACAGTGTAGACACACACCGGGCAAAATCAAAGGCAGCTCAAATACAAATTAAGGGCAGTTCTTCACCCCCCTTTATGCCCCAAAACACCCTCCCCAACAAAGTGCTTTGTGTAAGTGTTGTGAGTTTGAATATAAAGAGTGACCTCCTGGAGTGTGAGGATCCTGAGGCAGCGATGGGGCAGGACAGGACAGAGATTTCCCGTGAGAGTAAATGGTACTCAGTCACTTCTCTGGCCACTGAAAATTCAGTTACTTCCTTAGCACCCTAGTGGTGCCTAATGGAACTCCCATTTCTCTCCCCGACCTCCTTATGATCATAAATTGCTAACACTGTATTCAAATGATGAACCAAGAACATTGGGGCATCTTTACTACTTTTCCTTACGGTTCCTACGTGCTGATTTCTACATCTGTGACACTAACGGAATTATCATTAGCTTGTGTAAATTTGCATCACAAATACATTCCGTTCAGCTGCTCTCTAGTATTTTTTTAAGTAGGAGGTTGGAAATTTTCAAGTTCCAAATTATCGGGAATGCATAAATACATGTGCGATGTGCGATACTATAAAGAATGAATATTATATTGAATATGCCCTTTGTTCCTTTATATAATCCATTCATATTGACACAGATCAACAGTATCTCCATGCATTTCAACTAATCAGATGGTGGTGGCACAACCAGTTCGATTTGGTCATACTTTCGGCCTTGCAAATAAGCAGGCCCATGTCAGTGTGGGTACGATTCACATAATTTACAAAACCGTCTCTTTGTGGTACGGCTCGGTTCTTGGTGGCAGTGGAAAAGCTCCAACAGAGTCTCTGTGGGAAGAGCTGTCAGTCTTAGAACCCATAGACTGTTTATCGACACTCTGTCCTTAGAGGACACCATCAGATGTTTGCCATGGCAGCTGGAACTTGAGATTTACTTTGACTGCCCTTAAAAAAGTCAATATCTTAAAAAAATAGGTAAAAGCTGAAAGCCACAGTTAGTCTTTTGTTGGACTTAAACCACAGCCTCTTGGGACAAAGGTCTATTGACTAGCTTTGTGAATTCTGGCTCATCAAAAATGGATTAAATCAACATATTGAAATATGCATGGTAAAAATATGGTATACAGTAGACATAAAGAAAATGCTAAAAAATGTTTTTCCTTTTCAATCGGCTGTTTATTTGTTCATTTATTTTGTTATCGAGTTTCTCATTTGTGTGTCCATAATTTAAGGTTACAGGCTGGTGTCTCCTTGCCTGAGGAGGTGACCTTTTACGTCCTCACCGGTCCCACGTGGCGATCAGAGACATCCGGCAGACCTGACAGCATCACTCCACCACACCGACACTGCTGTAACGCTACCCGTTACTCGATAGAGACCGAACAGCAATCGACAAGCTTGACAGCGTGGAAGGTTGCATGAGTCATATTTCACAGGCAATATTGTTTACATGCATCATCCCAGGGAAAGACCTGTGCGTGCAGGTGGCTAGTCCGTGGTCTGGCGTGGCTTCAGGGGAACCCAGCTGCATACTGGGAGGGTGAGGATGTGCCGGGCTTTCTATGGGTGCTGTCCAAGTTCTGTGTTCTGTGTAGCTCCGAGACCCACCGAGTCTCTGCCCGACCCTACTGCTCCTGGTGCTGAGGACCCTTCTAAAGAGAAAGGAGAAACATGCACACATAGCACCTGCTCACCGGTAATTCCAGAAGATGTTTCCAGTTTCTTGGTGACAGTGTTAGTGCACATGACCTCTGACACCTGTCCCCTAAGGGGAACTTTGCTGGTCACGTGCACCTTTCCACGGGACAAATGCTGGACTACATGCTCTCCTTCTAGATGCTTCCTCACCTGCGACTGAACTGAATACATACTCTGGGGAAGACGAGGAGGTAGTGCTATCATTTGGCAACCAGAGGGTTGCAGGTTCGAGCCCTGTTTCCTCCTAACCCCATCAAAGTGTCCTTGAGCAAGACACTGAACCCCAAATTGCTCCTGTTGTGCAGGTTGGCACCTTGCATGGCAGGCTTTGCCACCAGTGTGTGGATGGATAAATGTGAGGCATGTATTATAAAGCGCTTTGAGTACTCGTAGGAGTAGAAAAGTGCTATATAAATGCAGTCCATTTACCATAAGAATTTCATTGTTGGCCTCTGCTTTGCTATGATCAGGAAAGGCAAACAACTTGGATTAAAACTAAGGGGTACATGTCTCTGAGCTTAAGTGTTCCAGCTTGTACTGGGAATGAGCAGTGACTGCTGTCAACCGTAAGAGGACATAAGATATTGATTTTCTTGCTTGAATGACCATCGGTGGAAAAAACGTGAAGAACAGCTGCGAGATGTGGTGATGCCGTCTGGGTGTCATGAACACGTGACTTTGAGGGTCTGACTTTCTCAGCTACGCCTGCCACAGGGATCCCGGCAGCCCCATGTTTCAGAGACCGGAACAGGGAAACCCAGCAGGAAATTTCTGCCCTTTTACTCTCGTGTCACTCAGCACATGGGCATTGTGATCACATGGGAATTTAAAATGGAATTCTTGCCTCTGAATCGGGAATGGATTAGTGCATGAAATATTAATTGATGCTCAGTACCATGAACCAAATAAAGCCTGAGGCAACGTCCTTGACACCAATAAAACAACCGAAAATATTCCTGAGGGAATTTTAAAAAAAAAACACTACCAAATAATATAATTACCATAATTGTTACCCAGTACAAAATCTATGCTGTAGACATAACAACTGAATGTAGCCTATTTGTCACGTGCCAAAGAAAAGGCACATTTTAGCCCAACAGGAAGACAGACAGCTCACATCAGTGCTGTAATTTGTCACTTCTGAACCATGTCCAACAGCAAGACCTGTATTTCCTTAGCAACTGCAACCGGCAACCAATCATGTGATGGGTCTTACGAATCCATTTAATAAAAAGTTGGCGAAATGTATTTGAAATGTATGATCGTGTCCTACTTGTCAATAATGCACACCATCGATATAGCAATGCATAGACAATCTGATCACAGGACGAACGAGGAGATGCTTCCATTTGGTTTATTTACATTTTAACTGACATTAAAGTTAAAACTTGTTAGAAACACTGTATCCAATGCAACAAAAAAAATCAAAAAAAGCCAGATTGGCTGGAGATATGGACACGGCATCATACATCCAGTTCATACATGTGTGACCTTGGTTCACCATGACATCTGATGTTGGAAGGAGGGCTCTGGGAGATATAAGGGAGGGGGGAAGTATTGCTGGAATTGCCAGGAATCTCGGTTGGCCTCTCGCGCGGCTCTCCGAGACGGTGCAGTGATGAGACCCTCGTGGTTTGTGTCTTCAATTCCTGAGCGCATGCAGTAGGGGAGCCACTCAGCTACTGCGGGATCTTAATAGGCTGCTCCGGGATGAATTATTAATCCGAATTAGATAGCCCGCTACTTCCTACATGGACTCTCGGAGCCACTACACCCTCCACACCAGTGCAAAGGTAAACCATGATTAGCCGCCGCCACGGCACAACCGGCCCGCCGCGTCACCAGGACCCCAGAGTCCAGAGGCTGCCCCCCCAGTCCCCCAGGTTCCCCTACACCAGGGTCTCACCAAGCAGCCTCTAGTGGGCCCCAAATCTATATTAGGCAAATGTGGCTTGGTGAATACATTTTGCCGGCCATAAAAAAATACTACCAACTTTTGCACGATCGGCAAAAATGACCAAGGGGCCCCCCCCCCCCCCCCGACACTTTGTAAGGGGCAACAGCTGGGCAGACATGCTGAGAGCCCCTTCTCTACACCACAGTGCTGATGGTGGAAGACTCCTCTGACCTGCCCTGCTTGCTGGGCAGGGACTTGAGGTACTCCAGGTGGCGCCGTGCGTCTTCCTGGTTGTGCCGCACGTAGTAAACCAGGTAAGATATGACCATGGTGAACCAACCAAACATGGTGATTAGCATGGCCACGTCGGTGGTCTTCTTCAGCACCACGCAGAGGTCCAGGTCCTTGGCCAGCAGGAATGGCGTCCCCTGGGCCCCCACGTCCTCGGGTTCTGAGGTCTGGCACACGATGCCGGCTAGAGAGGTGGGCTCCAGGTCGAGCAGGGGCATTACCCTCTGCAGGTTGCAGTCGCAGTGCCATGGGTTGTAGGTGAGGTTGGCGCGGGCCCGGATGTGTGCAAAGGCTTCTGGGTTCAGCGTCATGAGCTTATTGGAGGACAGGTCCAGGACCTGGAGGGACTCTGTGAGGCCTTGGAAGGCCCCGGGCTCCAGCTGGACCAACTCGTTATGGGAGAGATCCAGCTCGCTGAGTAAAGGGAGCTCCAGGAAGGTGTTGGTCGGAATGGTGGTGAGGAGGTTGAAGTCCAGGTAGAGGCGGCGGGTGTCATTAGGTATGTCCTGGGGAACCTCGGTGAGGCGCAGGCTGCTGCAACGCACCGTCTTCCCCCAGGTCTCGCTCTCGGAGCAGTAGCACCTCTTGGAGCAGCTGGTGGCCGCGTGGTGGAAGCAGAAGGCCATGAGCACCAGGCTGTGCAGCAGCAGACACGTGACCACCGAGTGGCGCAGCAGCCGGTCTGCGGGCAGTGGCATGATGGGATACCGGCATGCTCCTGGGAGGACTCAGCCCCCAAGCAGCTGGGAGAGGCAGAGGGTATGAGCGAGACAGTCCTCCAGCCGGTCAGCCTGCACCAAACTGGGGAAAGGAAAGCGGAGGAAGAAAAACTGAATGACTGATGTGACACAAATTACATCCTGACTTAAAAACTATCCCTGTGACTGATGGCGAAAGTGCTCAAGAGCCATAGTGTGTTATTTCATGCACAGATGGAGGCGATCTGGTTTAATTGCTATGAAAAAAAAGGCAGGGATCTATCTGTTCCAGGGCAGGCCGAGGACAAGGCTGTGCAGAGCTGCCTTTACATCCACATGGGCTGCAGCAGTAGAATTAAGGCAGGCTCTCTCAGCACATTACCGCTGGACCTGCTGACCCATTTTAACGGTGGATATTTAAAAATCGGCATAATCACACTTCGATTTAGAGAGTGGCCCAGAAGGGGAGGGTATTTTTGTCATCACATTCCAAAGAAAAACAGGGGAATGAGGATTTCTCGCACTGCTGCTCTCGCCACTGTGGCATTTAACAAGCATATCTTTTTAGGAGTCAATTCTGAATGTAACTGAATTTAAATCTGCAATTTAAACATCAATGGGTTGGTACACCTTCCTGGGTTGTTCCCTGCCTTGCACCCGTAGCTTCTGAATTAGGTCATCTGTTCCCTATCCTGCCCTGCCTTGCTCCAGAACTAGTCAACGGTGACTAGTAAATTAAAAAAAAATGTTACAAAAAGCTGAGGCTTCAACCACATGGAAATGAAAAAATGTATACAGTGCTCACAGATATTCTTGGGATGCTTAAATAGAATTAAAATATTGCACATGTATGGATTTTACAACAAAATATATATCACATTAGAAACAACCAGTAGTTTTAAGTAAAACATTCATTTCAAGTAGCAATAAACTGAAACACAAATTATCGTCCTAAAAATCATTCTGGGTTATAAACTTAATTTACAAGCAGTATCATTGGGTGGTTTTTAATTAGTAACAACTTTGCAATAACATAAAATGCCAAATATTTGTATTCAGTATCACTTTGGGAGCTGGTGACTACAGTTGTAATTGAACTGAGTGAATCAGTCAAAAAAATAGGACAATAAAAATAAAGATATGAGTGGAAGATACATGCAGATTGCTTGTCAATGGACTTTTGTTATGAAACCAATACATTTGCAACATTTTTGCTGAATTAAGCAAGTGTCCCAAGACTTTCCGTGAGCACTACAGCTGTAAGAGAGGTTAGGTTGGGCATGTCGAAAATGACCAACACCCAAACGTCATCCACCGCCAACTCTGCCGATCCCGAAATTCCGACTGCTGCAAATAACTGGAAAAGATGAAGGATGAATTGGATTACATTTCGAAAGTGACTGTGAAAACTGTAGCCGATAAGCGATCCACTTATGGAGACTGAAAATGAAATCGATTCCTCTTAGAAGAACATAACAGGGTGTCATCTACAGAATGCTCCTAATGAGATCATGACTCACATGCTGAGCAAATGCCAAGAAATAATGATTTGTAAACAGAAAAATCCAATTTGGGTGTAGAGAGCAAAGAACATTTCATATCTGCTTTAGGTAGTCCCTGGGGAGGCTGGGGTGACAGTACATAATTTTTAATTACAGAGGAAGAAAAACCAAACACTTCTGGGCACATTACTGGACAGGGGGGGGGGGGGGGGGGGGTTGAAGTGATGAAGGAGATATTATTAAAGAAGCGGCATTCTGTTAATGTAAGATGAGGTTTTCCACGACGCGACGGGTTGTCTTGGCATTTACCTGGAAGCGGGAGGGGGCTTGGGGGTGAAGACAGGAGGTGAGGGGAAAACCCTGAATGAGGGAGAGAGAGGGAGAGGGAGAGAGAAAAGGATATAAAGGAACCCCGAGGGGCAGGGAGGAAGGACAGAAACGAGGATATAATAAGAAAAAGCTCAGAAGGAATAATGAAAAAGAGGACATCTTTAGGAAGGCAAGATAAAAAAGATGAATGAGTAAAGCAAGTACGAGAGGTCAATAATGAGAGCGTTCAGCTGCAAAGGAGCCAAAGGGAAGGCAGAAACAAGGCAGGCATTTTTACTCAGCTAAGCGTTTGTTAGTGAAGCCATCAGATCCAGATATAATTACTGCATGGGTCAGGTACGGTCAGTGGAATTAGGAGCTTATCTGTTTGAACAAACACACAAAGCACCTTTCATCTGGATCACAAAACGCTTCAGGTTGAACCTATAACTCCGAGATCATGAGATTGTCTTTCATAACAAATGCAACTGTTGTGCATGTAGGCTTTTTCCTGTGTTGTGGAAAACCTCGTCTGACATTAACAGAATGCCGCTAAATATATATAAAATAAACCACTGCCAAGAAGCATATAGTACAAAGCAACTTCACATAAACACATATGAACCGTATCCACCAGCTTCATACTCTGAATCCACATTATCCATGACAAGTTCATGGCAAGGCAGCTTAACACTTCATTCTCCTCTTGGTATTGAAGTGACTTGATGACTAGCTGGCTGCTGCAGACCAGCGTGTCACAGTGTGGCTGCAGAGGTTTAGAGTGGGCACTACCGGAGATGGTGTAGCAGCAGGGGGCACAGAGTCAGGCATTCCTGCACTGCCCCCCCCCCGCTAGGGTGCATGGCTCTGGCCCCCCCCCCCCCCCACCCTCCCCCCCGCTAGGGTGCATGGCTCTGGGATAACACGGCCTTTGATAACCCCGGCCCGGCCTTTTGTCAATGTGACCGCTGACATGGGCAGGAGCTATTCTGGTGCTATGTAATGTCAGGACTCCCACTGGCTCTATTCATAGCATTAAGCAGGGAGAATAAAAATGTTATCTAAATGTTACATACATTGTTTTGACCTTTAAATAAAGATGATCACTTGGTTTATAAAAAAAATCATTATTCAAAAACTGTGCGGGGAAAAAAACTCCTAAATTATTAGACTTTTCTAACCTCATAAGTAAGCACATATAAAACAATGCTGAAAATAAATTTGTTTAGATTAATTTCGTACGACCAAAGACCCGGCTACTGCCTCAGACAGGCCAATAAAAAGGTGCTTAAATGGGTACATTTATGCACCAGCCCGCCTCCATTTTAAACGTTATCCTCCGACATAAATAAATTAACCAAAGCATTTGCACTTATTAGCTACACTATCAGTATCACGAACCGTGACAGAAAGGCAGCCCCGTTGTTTCTCTCCCTCCTGACTGCAGGTCCTAGGACAGTCGTTCGGCTTTGACATTTTAACCTTTGTTGCCGGCAGACTGAACAGCATCGATCCCCACCTTTTTGTGAGTGTTGCTGTGTTAAGTAGGCCTACTGTGTATAGAAATATGGATGGTCTGCATCCCGTTTTGTGTCCCCTGAGCATCTACTCACCGAAAGAGTGGACAGCCGTCACCGAGGCTACCATGCAGTGCTTCCAATTTCTCTAAATGTTTCAGGATTCGGGATAATTTTTTAAAACACATGATTTCATGTGTTTTAAAAAGCTGGGCATGGCGCAAATGTCGTAATAAATAATAAGTTCATCCATTTGTTTAACTTATGTCCCCATCAGTTTTATTTATAATTAGAGAAAAAAAATAATACTACTTCGTGCAACTGATACGCTTCACTTAACCATTCACGTAAACCGCGGACGGCAATGTATTTCGTAAACTATTTAACAAATCCAGCAGAATTAATGTAAATGACTGTTTGAATGAACCGATTCTCTCGGCCGTGTTTGATTTATTGCCTTCATTATGCTGAACGACTGGAGTCGGTCAGTCGATTTAATAAGGAATGAGACAGATTACAAATTAACGTGAGCTGTATGCGTTAACATCACCGGTTCGTTCTTATAACCCTTAAAATGTGTATTGTAAAACATTCTTATTTATTTACTGAACTCCGTGATGTATCAGAAACTATGTGAAGATACAGTTGTATTATTTTTGTTTTAACAAAACTATGTTGCTGAAAGATGTTTATCATTAAAGATAAGCTATATATACAAATAAATAGGCTATAATCAGTCTTACCTGATATATAAGGTAGGTACGTTTCCTGAAAGCAACAGGCTCTCACACCATCCTATTTTCACGTAAAGAAACGTGTAAATAGTAAACCGTCAGTATCCAGATAATATATGCAGCATGCAGCGTGATAAGAAAATAAACAAACCAAGTTCGTCTTTAAATGGGGAAAAAATGCTACGATGACACAGGCTTTCTCCGAAGACCCCCGGTGAGATACCAGGAGTATTTTCGCTTGTTAGGTATCGTTTGATGACTTGGTAATAATGCTGGATCCTTGGTGTCCGTTTTTCGTTGCCAGTGGATAGATGCTGTTGTAATCATATCAATCCATTTAAAAATCGTACAGCTAGTAAAATTATCATGTGCTGGGTTAAAGCATCTTCTATGGCCAGACTGAACAAACTTCTTTTTCTTCTTTGAAGGCACTGCCTTGGATCTCTTGTTTTATCGCCCTGCCCCGTTATCTCACTCTTTTTAAACGATACAAATTGCCGCTTCTTGGCATCTGATCCCTCCGTATTTATTTAGTCCGAGCGGGATGGGGGAGAGACGAGTCTTCAAAGTGGTCGCGCCCTCTCCGCATCCAGAGCGCGCTCCTCCGTGAGAAGCTGCACGCCCAGTTTGCCCGCGGCGATGCAAATGCACCCAGCGGCCGCAGCCTGCGCCGTCTCCAGTTTCCATGCAACCGCTAAACTTGTCAGCCCACCAGGAGCAATCGGAAATTGGCAGCTATGCAGTGTGACATTATTGGTAGGCTACAGCAAAACAAGCAGCCGTACCTGATATGGAAAGAAAAATAACGTGCGGCGTTTTTCTCCGGTGTGCTACGTGACAGCTTTAAGTATGTAGGCATATCAAGTCTGTAAGAGTATTTGCTGTTCAGTGGAAAAAAGTAGCCATTTCTATCATGAATCAACACACTAGTTTTAATTATATAGCAGAGTGTTATATAGGCCTACATTCTGTGTAAAGTATAATTTGGAGGTGAAAAGAAGAAATTCCCATACACAATTTTCTAGAATATAATTTCAGTAAAGAGGAAAGAGAAAGTAGAAGCCTTGAATCAAAGGGATTTTAAAGTGTATGAATGAAATGTGAGGATACGTTGAAACAAAATGATAGCAATTACATTGTTTTACTGGGTTTCCTGTATCTGACAAAATAAACATGAAGACAGCTACACATGAACTGCGATTAAGCCAGTCGGAATTTTCCTTTCTAGTTTCAAGTTGTACAAGGAGCAAAGCTTAGAGCACAGAAGGAGCATGTTGTGGCTGATCAAGTTTCCTCATTAAAGGCTGTACACACATGCAGTGACAGTACAAGGCACCAAACATCCAAGAGTGTTCACTTTCAAACCTACAGACATGATTTCAGTTGTTTCTAATGATCTCCTGATCTCCCAGGCCTATGATGATGTGCTGAACAACGGGGTTCCTGTCTCCAAAGTACATGCTGCTCACTGATGGTCAGAGGATCATGAAGGTGAAGCGTCTCACTGTCTTGCCCTAAATAAAGATGCTCTGCGTGTCGTGACATATTACTCCCACAATGCCTTGCTTCACATCTCACATCGACGAGTCCTGGCTCCTCCTTGGACCACTCTCAATAGGTATTCACCATGCCTGGTCATTTCAGAAATGTTCTTACAGAGTCATCTGGCCATAATGATCTTCATTCCTATATATATCCATGTCTTCTACATTCAACATATCGACTACAAGTACCAAATGTTTGGTTAATGTCTAATATATCCCATACCCTGTCATGTCACGTTTTTACAAAATAGATCATTCACTTCATGTTGGGGTGGTCGTAATGTTTTGGCTCATCAGTGTATGTTCAGTATGCAGAAACTCTGAATTGAGGTGATGAGTTGGATCTATTGACAGTTGTAACAGGTTTGGCATGACTCTATAGACTTATGGTATTTAGTTTCCTGATTCCACCTTACAAAAAACAGCATAAGCTAGTCCAATGCAGGGTCTTCTTGCTCTGCTAATACTATCATGGTTAATATGCACTGAATCAGCCTGGGCAGGGCTAGCCAATTATCAGCAATCAGTGCCTTCACCTGCCCTGCTCCCTTTAAAACTCCTACTGCTCTTGCATTCAGTGCAAGGTATTTTTTGCTTTCTCTGAGGCTTACCAAGCATTTCAGTTCTGTCCTGCAACTTCTCTGATTCCTGTCTGCCTGTCCGTCCATCTGCCTGTCCGTTTGCCTTCCTGTATGTCCGCCTGCCTGTCCATCTGCCTGTCTGTCTGCCTTCTTAGATCCTGCCCATCCTCATTCCTGCTTCCTTCGGACCTGCCTTTGTGTTCATTCCTTGTTCTTCGGCTTCTGACCTGCTTGGACTTGTGACCACGACCCAGAGAAAGCTTGATGATTCCAATCCTGTTTGCCTGACCTTTCTAATAAATCCCTGGTTCTCTGATTTCTGGGTCTCCGAGTTTCTGTCCCCGCCAGACCTGACAGAATACCTCGCCACCGCAATGGACCCAATAGAGACACAACAACAGCTTCACGAAGCCCAGGCCCAGATCTTGCAGACGGAAGCAGCGGTGAATCAGCTCCTGGAAGGGCAAGCCACTGTAGCACCGCTTTCTGCCTCTCTGTCTCAATCCACCACTCCAATCCCAATCGTCATCCCCTAGATATATGATGGGGACTCGAACCAGTGCCGTTCATTCCTGATGCAGTGCAGGCTATATGGTGACAAGCATCCTAAGTGGTTCAGGGAAGACACTGCCCATATGTGCTTTGTCATCTTGATGCTGATTGGTCAAGCTCGTGAGTGGGCTACTGCTCTGTGGATGAGGAAGAGCTCTGTGTTGGACTCCCCTGTCACCTTCCAACAAGCATTCACCAAGGGACATCTGTTCCCTCTGTCCCAGCCCGAAGAGGCCATCTCCACGTACATTACTGAGGCCAGCAAAAACGTATCATCTGACCCTTCATATTCCCTGTGACATCTGGATTGTTCTTTGTGAGAAAAAGGGTGGCAGGCCTTGACCACAAATCCACGATCAGGCCCTCGATGCAATCACAATAAAGCACGATAAAGCTGCTCATCCCATCACCGTTGGAGCAACTTCGAGATGCCAGAATCTTCACAAAGTCGGAACTCCAGAATGCCTATAACCTCATTCACATCAAGGAGGGAGATGAGTAGAAGACTTCCTTATCACCAATATGGGACAGTTTGAGTATTTAGTTTTGCCTTATGGTTTGGCCAGTAGTCCTTCATGAATGAGGTCTTAGCAGGCATGATGAATCATTTTGAGATACTCTACATTGGTTTACTCTTCTTCCCCAGAGCAGCATGTCCACCATGTTTGTCAGGTGCTACCACCTATTCATAAAGGGGGAAATGTGAGCTACACCAGAGCACCCTCAAGTTCCTGAGGTATCTGCAGGGTCTATTCTGCTTTGTACCCGTTCTACAGCAACCGGAACCGGATTTCCCCTTTGTGATTGAGGTGGACACTTTGGAGGTGGGTGTGGAAGCTGTCCTTTCCCAGAAACAGAAGGAGTTGGAAGAACCTCACCCCTACACCTTTTGCTCAAAGAAGCTAACTCCTGCAGAATGTATTTATGACATAGGCAACTGGGAAGTGCTGGCTATCTAGCTGGCGCTGGCTGGATGGATATGTGACTTTTTGCTGCTGACAGGCTACCGCAATTTGAAATACATTCAGAATGCTAAGCGGTTGAATACCTGTCAAGCACACTGGTCATTTTTCTTCACCTGCCACCCAGGGTCCGATAATGTCAAGGCTGGTGCACTATCCAGACAGTTTGACCCTCTTGAGTCCTTGGAGCAGAATCTCCTGATTCTCTCTCTACCTGTTTTCTGTATGGGGCCAGTGACCTGGAGCTTGAACAAGTCCCTGCGGGAGACCAATCAGCAAGAAAGCCTTCCTGCAGAGTGTCCTCCAGGTAAAGTGTACGTCCCTCCAGACTTCAGGTCCACTGCCATCCAGTGAGTACACATCTCCCGCAACTTAGGTCACTCCGGCATTGCCACCACTGCCCGCCTGGTTTCCCATTGCTACGGGTGGCCAGGTTGGAAGGAGGTGGAAGCCTACATAGCCTCATGTCCTAAATGCTCTCAGCTCAAGTAGGATACAGGAACCAACTAGCATCCATCAGGTCTCCTCCAGCCCTTGCCCATGCCCTCACATCCTTAGTTGCACCTCTCTTTATACTTCATCACTGACATCACCTCCTCACAGGGGAACAGCATAATCCTCATGGTGGAGGATCGCTTCTCAAAGATCTGTCTGATGATCCCCCTTCCTAAACTTCCAATTGCTGGTGAGCTGGCCAACTTACTGATCAGCTGGTTCTTTGGACCGAAGGCTCTTGTTCACCTCCAGATTGTTCAGAACCTTCTGTTCTCCCCTAAATGTGCCTTTGAGTCTCTCCTTCAGTCACCATCCCCAGTCCAATGGAATGTTAGGGCAGATCAACCAAGAGGCGACCAAGACGCTGTGGTTGGTCCTGTCCTGCAGAGTTGGCCCCGTACCTTCTGCGTGCACCAGGAACTCCCTCTGCAATTGAGCAACACAGCTGATGCTCTTCTAGTTCATCCTGTGCTATCAATTGCCCTTGTTCCCCTGGGACTCCCAGTCCAGTGAGGATTGGCACCAGTGATGTAAGGGGGTCTGGGTGCAGGCCCGCTGACAGCTGTGGGCACAGACACTACAATAGAAGCAACAGGCAGATTGCTGATGAAGATTGTGGCCTTTCATTGGGTCACCCTTCCAGACCGGTGCCTTGTCCCCGGGCCCAACCCTCAACATCCACTTCAGCTTCCAGCAGGCAGCTATTGGGGGAAGTACTATTGCTTCCTGCAAGATGACATGGGCCAAATCCTTCTGCCCTCACCCTCACTGCAAGGTATTGTCTGCTTTCCATGAGCGGTAACGAGCGTCACAGCCCTGTCCTGTGGCTGTTCTGTAGGATTGATTCTGACCTGTTTGGACTCGTGACCATGATCCTGAGACAAGCCTGACAATTCCAGTTCTGTTTGCCTGATCTTTTTGATAAATCCCTGTTTCTCCAATTTCTGGATCTCAGTCATGGACAGACCCCCCCAGTTCAGCAGAGGGAATTTGAGGTGCATGTGCTATACAAGGGGGAGTCCCATACCAGTCTTCCATTACAAAGTGTGTTCATTGGTCCATAATGTAGAACCAGCAGCAAATAAGTTTTAAGCAGTTTTTCACTTGCTCAAAAGTCTTTTAAAAGTTTTAATTTGAATTCTGACTCAAAACCTCAAAATAAAACAAAGTTCAAAAGCTATTAGAATGAAAATGGAAGGCAGTAAATGTATATGGATAGTAAGGTGGAAGGGAGCACAGACAGAGATAATTCTTCAACAGATTTGCCTCTCCCTTGCCAGGCCAGCCCCCCCCCCCCCGCCCCCCCAAGGCATCACTAACCTTGGCTTCTCCAGTGTCTTTAACACCATCCAGCCTCTCCGATTGGGGAACAAGCTCAGGACAATATAGCTTGAAACCCCACAGTCTCCTGGATTATGGACTAAATGACTAAGAGATGATAGTTAAGGAGGATCCAGGACTGTGTGTTGGAGATGGTGGTGAGCAACACTGGGGCACCTCAAGGCAGTGTCCTGTCTC